TGCCTCTCTTCACAAAGCGTGTGAGGTAAGTGCCACTCAGTTCGGCTGTTATCGTCCTGCTCGTGAGCATAACTCCGATCCAAGGTCTGATGTCTCCTTCAATGCCGATCGAGAGGAGGGAGCTCAGTATGGATTAATGGTGTGGTATGGTATGGTATAAGAAGGTGGCCATTGTATATTGGTTAAAATGTAGCGATTTTTCTATGTGGCAGACTACTTCGTGTAGTGCCGTTTCTGTCGATCTGCCCTTTCGGTGCGCATGCTGAGCGTCCGATAGATGCTGCTTCTCTGTGTTTTCCCGGATATGAATATCGATCATTCGTTCCAGCGTTTTCATTAGGAAGGAGATGAGTCTGATTGGCCTGTAATCCTTTGCTAGGATATGACCTCTTCTTCCTGGTTTTGGTATAAATACAACTTTGGCTTCCTTCCATAGAAGCGGTATGTGTGCTGGTCTGATGCAAGCCGTGTAAATGGCTTGCAGCCACCTATTGATGCTGACCTGTGTTGCTTGAAGCATAGCCGGGAAAATGCCGTCTGGCCCCGGACTCTTATATTTATCGAAAGAGTTTATCGCCCAGTTGATTTTTTCAATGGTTCAATGATATCCCTTGTGTGTGTTGGTTGATAAGCCCTCTGACCTTCAGTAGGTGCTGGCTTTTCTCGAAGGCTGCCTGGAAAGTCTGTATCCACTAGTGTCTCTATAGATTCTTCCACTGTTGTAGTCGCTGAACCCAATTCTTTGTGTATTAAAGTTGGGCTGTTATACCCTTTAGCAAGGACCTTGCTTAGTCTAGCCGAGTCTTTAATACCTTCGATCGATTCGCAGTAAGTCCTCTAAGAGTCTTTCTTGGCTGCGTATATCGCTTTTTTGTATGCTTTTTGTGCTTCTTTGTATGGCTCCCATTCCTTGGTAGCATAGCTGGAGTTATATGCTTTTCTTGCCATCTTTCTCAGAGTGCAAAGCTCTTTGGTCCACCATAAAGGGTGTTGTTTCTTAGAGTATGAAACCTTGCAGGTTTCCTTATATGCATTGTTTAGAATGTTTGTTAGGTCCTCTACTTCCTTGTCCAGGGTCGTCGTAGAGGTTTGTACCCGTATTCTTCTGTTGCTAATTTTCGAGTAGACAATCTTACCGAATTTGTCCCAGTTTGTCCTACGGGGGTTACGTTTCGGTTCCGGTTTGCTAATCGGAATCGAAATTTCGAAGAAAATGTACCTGTGATCTGAAAAGGAATTTTGTTTCGACACTATGAACTTTTCAACTTTATGTCTACTAAATTCTGTCTGTAAAGTGAGGTCTAACACCTCTTCCCATCCCTGAAATTCCCTAGTGCTTGGGAATATAAAGGTGGGTGTGTTACATCTATTACATATGGTGATGTTGCGGCAAATAATATTATCAAAAAGAGACTCACCCCTTTCGTTAGTTTCCGAGCTTCCCCAAAGTGTGTGTCTCGCGTTAGCGTCGCATCCGAGCACCAGGGTCGTCAAAGTGTCTTCCGCCCATTGCCGCAGCTTGATGACTGGCTCAGGTGGAGCCGGTTCATCATGGGCCATGTAGGCTGAGGCTATCACCATCGATGTTCCATCCGGCGCCACGAATCTGGGAACTGCTAGATCCGGTGTGCTAAGATTGGGGCATAGAAGTGCGTTATAGTTATTCTTTATAATAATACCTGCCAGTCCAGTCTTGCCCTCTGCCTCATTATTGGCAATCTTGCCGAGAATAAAACGAGCCCGACTGACCTTGGCCTTGAGCTACTGATGCGTAACAGTGGCTGCCTTGCTGGTACCCGGCTGGGTTCCGCTGTTGTGGTAGAACAAAAATTTTTTATATCGATGTGATGAACGTCATATCAAATTTTTAGAACAACATGTTTTGGACAAACTGACAAACAGAATTAAATTTTCATTTTGACTAGGCCCCCGCAAATTTGTTTTCTTTTGAACGGAGCGTCCGATTTACTTATATGACCCCTCATATTAAGCGCATTTTCAGTAGAAATACAAATAACGTAGTCCGGGGGGCCAATTTTCCCCACCGGCCCCAACAAATCCAAATTTCTAAATTTTCACTTACACTTTCACCGCTTTCTCTCCCAAACCAATTGATTTTCTTGAGGTCTTGGTATGCATTCCTTTAAGTTTTAGCATTACCTTTAATTTAGTGTATTACTCATTACGATCGGACTATCACAGCAGATTTTCAATTTTACGGCTATATAATAGTAGTCTGGTTTATTGATTTATTGGTTTGTTGGTACATGCTTATATACTACTTAGATCAGGCGGAAGCTTCGTCTAGAGAATAGGCGATTGGGTTGTGTTGCGGCAAGTTGTTGTCCGCATTTTCGCTGTGCCATTTAGTGATTGTAAGTCGTGCACTGTAGTAGACGAACTTTGCTGTGCCTGCAGAATACGCTGCTGTGTAGGTTAGTAGGCCGCGTGGGTGAGTTGGTGCGACGCTAGGTGAGTCGGTGGGTCATTGTTGGATCTCTTGGTGCTGCTGTTTGAAATGCAACCGTTCGGTTGCAACTCGCTTGATGTACGCTGGAATCTTGTTGGGTTCGTAATGCTAGTTACAAACAATAAGAACAAGAGAAAACGCTATAGTCGGGTTTGTGCCCCGACTATCTAATACCCGTTACTCTGCTAAAGGCAGTGCGAGGGAGATGGATATATACAATTTTTTGATTGCGTATAACTTTTTAATTTCGACAGACAGACAGACAGACAGACAGACAGACAGACAGACAGACAGACAGACAGACAGACAGACAGACAGACAGACAGACAGACAGACAGACAGACAGACAGACAGACAGACAGACAGACAGACAGACAGACAGACAGACAGACAGACAGACAGACAGACAGACAGACAGACAGACAGACAGACAGACAGACAGACAGACAGACAGACAGACAGACAGAGCAGACAGACAGACAGACAGACAGACAGACAGACAGACAGACAGACAGACAGACAGACAGACAGACAGACAGACAGACAGACAGACAGACAGACAGACAGACAGACAGACAGACAGACAGACAGACAGACAGACAGACAGACAGACAGACAGACAGACAGACAGACAGACAGACAGACAGACAGACAGACAGACAGACAGACAGACAGACAGACAGACAGACAGACAGACAGACAGACAGACAGACAGACAGACAGACAGACAGACAGACAGACAGACAGACAGACAGACAGACAGACAGACAGACAGACAGACAGACAGACAGACAGACAGACAGACAGACAGACAGACAGACAGACAGACAGACAGACAGACAGACAGACAGACAGACAGACAGACAGACAGACAGACAGACAGACAGACAGACAGACAGACAGACAGACAGACAGACAGACAGACAGACAGACAGACAGACAGACAGACAGACAGACAGACAGACAGACAGACAGACAGACAGACAGACAGACAGACAGACAGACAGACAGACAGACAGACAGACAGACAGACAGACAGACAGACAGACAGACAGACAGACAGACAGACAGACAGACAGACAGACAGACAGACAGACAGACAGACAGACAGACAGACAGACAGACAGACAGACAGACAGACAGACAGACAGACAGACAGACAGACAGACAGACAGACAGACAGACAGACAGACAGACAGACAGACAGACAGACAGACAGACAGACAGACAGACAGACAGACAGACAGACAGACAGACAGACAGACAGACAGACAGACAGACAGACAGACAGACAGACAGACAGACAGACAGACAGACAGACAGACAGACAGACAGACAGACAGACAGACAGACAGACAGACAGACAGACAGACAGACAGACAGACAGACAGACAGACAGACAGACAGACAGACAGACAGACAGACAGACAGACAGACAGACAGACAGACAGACAGACAGACAGACAGACAGACAGACAGACAGACAGACAGACAGACAGACAGACAGACAGACAGACAGACAGACAGACAGACAGACAGACAGACAGACAGACAGACAGACAGACAGACAGACAGACAGACAGACAGACAGACAGACAGACAGACAGACAGACAGACAGTTAAATTAAAAATTAAATTAAATTATGTCGCCGCCTATGATAAATCTTAAATTTGGACTCTGTCAACCGAAAAAAGTGGAAAAATCCGAACTTTAAAAATCCACCATAAATCCGGATTTCCATGGATTTGGTCCATATCCGGCTTGTTTTATTCGGTAGGATCTAAACTTTAAGTTTGTACCCATTACGATTTTTCAACGGATTTATTTCGAGTTTTTACGATATATACAGCCGACTTACAGTCGACCTAAAAACACATTTTCCATCTTTGTCGAGCTTCTGCGCTGCCATTACTTATCCAATCATATTGATCTGTATGGCAAAGTTAAACTCTGATCTATTTACTTTAAAATAAAACTAAAACTGGCCCATCGAGTGGATATCTGCCGAGATATAAGAAGAAATTCGAAAAAAGTCAGAAATTTAACATTTCGAACTTTTAAAAATCTTTAAAAAAAAACTGTGCCATCGAAAAAAAAATTAATGCTATTTTCGTGGTCTAGAGGTCCAACACTAACTGAATGTGCCATCAATTGCTGGGGAGCATTTCGGCTGTAAACTAGTGTTATATTTATATAAATGTTAAACCAATGTACCCCACGGTTCAAGAGTTATTTCAATTTAATCTTAATTTTCAATTTTTATTATAAAAGTAAGACTTATTTGTCAATTTTTTTTTTAATAAGTTAACTCTTATTTGCGATCCCTGCGTATGTTTTAAGTTGAAACTTTCAACATTCTTCGTATTTCGAACTAATCTCTTGGTTTTTAAGCTATGGAATTGAAACTTTCCCAAAAGATATCTGTTTATTGCAGGTAGTATATAATTCTATTATATACTATATATGTCAAAAAGATCAGGATCTGACCACTTATGGCTTCTACAGAAATAATAAAAATATCTATACATCTCGGTGTTTTAACATTTTATTTTAATTATTTAATTTACCAGGTTAAAGACCCTTCCTATATTTTTCGCCCACAGTAAAATCAGTCATTCCTTTTCCTGCGGTTCCGCACGTACCGACTCCTACTCTGCCGCTTACATTATCAGGAGAGGCAAATATACTTTTAGCTTTCACTCCGTTCTTTTTTTGATTTTTTGTGGTAAAATTAAGCCATTTATTTTTGTCTGATTCACGTTCCTCTTCCAAATCTTTGAATCGCTGTTGTTTTTTTTGCTTGCGTTTTTTTAAGTATTCTTTTTGATTGGGTCTGTGACGCCTGTAAAAAACATGTTACAAACTTTTGACTTATAGTTGCAGATATAAATTATACTTATTAGAAGGAAAAACTTCGTTCCGAGTAGTGCGTTCTCTCAGCTCGTTGACATGTGTCGTTGACCGATTTTGATAGGCATCAAAAATTACACTGACTTCTCCATTGTTTGATATATCTTCAATAGTAGCGTCGTAGTACTGACGATCCTCCTTCCATTTAGCTTGACACTTATCTCCAATCTTCCAAATCTTAGCAGCTGAAACTAATTTTTCTGCTTCTAAAAGAGCAGCTTCAATTTCGTCGAAATAGTTTGAGGACGCTGTTTTAGTTGACGACGGCTCCACATATGAAGATTTATGCTGTTCTTCTAGTTGAGTTTGTATCAGATCGCGAGTAAGGGTAATAACTTCGCCAAGATCACTTTTGAGTTTTAATAGCTCGTCATTTTCTGGATCAGTTTGAAGAGCTGCTTCCACCTGAAAATTGTAATATTAATAATTAAAACAAGAGAGAACGCTATAGTCGGGTTGGTGTACCAAGATGGATATACACATTATTTTTGATTGCGTATAACTTTTAAATGAATGGTCCGATTTGAAAAATGTCTTCTACATTTCGATAGATATAAATAAACACAACAAAATTGCATTTATACTTCTCGAAAATCTTTAAAGGTGTGGGCGTCAGACACATTTTAAAATCGTTAGTGGGCATAAGAGGGGGCGTGGCTGAAGTAAACTTGCGTTGCGTAGGAGGCCCAAAAAATATGTGTGGAAAATCTTAACCTTCTAGCTTTTGTAGTTTCCGAGATCTCAGCGTTCATACGGACAGACAGACGGATTAGCCATATCCGACTCGGCTAGTGACCCTGATCAAGAATATATATACTTTATAGGGTCGGAAACGCTTCCTTCTCCCTGTTACATACTTTTGCACGAATACAATATACCCTTTTACTCTACGAGTAACGGGTATAATGATTTTTTAATGTTTCTTTTGTTGGTCTGAAAGTGCATTAAGGAGGGGTAGGGTCCTGCAAAATAAATATTTGTACGCATACTTTTTCTGGCTCGTGTATGTACAGTGGCTCACAGCTTATTTCAACCAGTCTACACCAAAAACTTTAACAGCCCATAAAAACTAAACAAAAAATGTTATCAAAATAATTTAAACGCAGAATACATCTATGATGATACACATTAGTGTATAATAACGTTATGATTTTTTAAATATTTTACAAATATTTTTTATGAATTAATTACAAAAAAAGCCCAAGAAAAAGGCCACAGCTTATTTCAACCAGTTAACAAAAAAATCGAATAAATTAACATAGTGGGCAATAACTTTTTTTTTTTAATTTGGCATGACTACCCTTTTGTTTACCAACAATTTAAAGTTAACTTTACATGGATACAATGCCTTTTGTTGTTGTTTTCAAGTAAAAACTTCTCCCGACCCTTGGGAAGGACTTTTGGCATAGTTTCGTCTAAAAATATTGTGTTTTCTAACATTTTTTCGTTAAGTGGACTTCCAATTTTGTTTTGTGGTAATGTTAAGACACATTTAATTCATAATCATTAGCTTTCGACAGCTCTGGATGAGCTGAATCTGCGAAAGAATATGCACTTCCCATGGGTCATTTCTTTAGTTAAATCAAAAATTAATTTATATTTCAAAATCGTTGCAGTTTTTAATTCATTTATCCTTTTGAATGTGAAGATGAACTCAAATCTTAATCGCGAAGTAAAAAAATAGAAATTATGGAAGGACCTGTTTAACACTTATAGGCCCAAAACAATTAGCGTTCGCCGTTAGACTTTAAAATAGCAATTTGACTTCCCAATTTAGGCTCGTCATTGGGATTTTCTCCGCTTAGATATATTTTTCCGACTCAAATGTATCAAAATTCAAGTATTTCTTTCAAATACATTTTTTCAAACATAAAAAGGACACTAATAAGTGAGTTTCTCGTGTGTATCCAAATGAGCCCTACGCCTAGCGGCGAACGCTAAAGTTAACTTTAAATTGTTGGTAAACAAAAGGGTAGTCATGCCAAATTAAAAAAAAAAAGTTATTGGCCACTATGTTAATTTATTCGATTTTTTGTTAACTGGTTGAAATAAGCTGTGGCCTTTTTTTTTGGGCTTTTTTTGTAATTAATTCATAAAAAATATTTGTAAAATATTTAAAAAATCATAACATTATTATACACTAATGTGTATCATCATAGATGTATTCTGCGTTTAAATTATTTTGATAACATGTTTTGTTTAGTTTTTATGGGCTGTTAAAGTTTTTGGTGTAGACTGGTTGAAATAAGCTGTGAGCCACTGTAAGTCTAAAATTAAAATGTTTAGTGATTCAATAGACCAAATAAATACTGTTATGGGCCTTGTCTATGGTTTTTCAATAATTTATTGGGAGGGTGAAAGAAGATGCATACAAATATGTATGTATACATATGTATAAATTTGTGTATGGATATGTGCCATGTTATGTTATGTTATTTGCAGCGACAATATATTTAATACTATAATACATATAACTCACTTTTTCAAACGTACCTGTTGCAGTTGCAATTTATAGTTTTGAAGATCGTCCGCCATTTAACTAAAAAACAACTATACTAAGTAGGTGCCGAATGAAATTAATCATAATAAGGGTCTTAGAGAGCGCCAAAATCCTCAAATTTCATTGATTTGGAACGATCGACAAAGAATATTATGTGTCATACAGCAAATGTCCGGTTCCTACGAAGAAGCTTGCTTGCAAATTGATTGTAATAGCCTTTCCACACTAAGATCCATTAAGCAACCGTTGAACGGATGGTTCACAATTTATTTTGGTTCTGAAAATTTAGCGCGCAGCTGATCGGCACAAACAACCCTGAAACTGAAGGGAGAGGATAAAATGGATTACAATTAGAGGTGGAGAAACATCGATGTTTAGAAAAAAAAGTGCGCGACCCCACGGGCGTGATATTGGTGATATATCTCCCCCACTCGGGTGAACTATCAAAGATATTTTGGTATTCAAAAAGTATGCAACAAAAAAATTGTTTTGTGAACAAAATCCTAGATCCGCCACTTGGTATACCAAGCGAATTTTTCTTTCTAAATCGCGTTTTAGGGTCTGCGAATTGGCTTCAAAGTTTATTACCCATACGCACTGTTGCCTTCGATCAAAAAGTTTTTTTTTAGATTTCAACAGTTCATTTCATGTTTGGCTCTCCATTTATTTTAACCAATTATTTTAACGAAATTTATAATTAGACAATACTAAAAAAGGGAGAACGATTTTTTTCGACAAAATTTGTACGGCTATGCCGTTTCCTTACCAGAGCTGAATGTAGCATTTTGACATTTTTTTGTATATCTTACATTTTTCCCATATATTTTCAAGTGGTTCTAACGGTGGGAGAAATGAGAATTTGATAATAAATAATACTACATTTCGATATTCTCGTGCCTAAAATACCATATAACTGAGTATTTTTTGACTATCGACAAAACGACCATCGCAGGATTATCGAAATAAACAAGGCCCACAATAGATGGATTCCCTGCAGAAAAAAATTACGTATAACTGCAGTTAACAAAAGCTGACCAATCGTTTGCCATTAGTTTTGTTACAGGAAGTAAGAGGCAACAAACCACCATACCGATTATTACACTAAGACCACCGAAGGATTGCAAAATTAACAATACAATTATTCCAAACATATATCTAATGTGCGTGCATATCATGATCAATACAGTTGTTTGTTAAAATCTCCTGCTTGCGGATAGTAGTATTTAAGAAATTATGCCTATATTTCAGGTTTTGAAAAATGTCTTCCTCCTAAAAAGCTTTCAACGCTTGCCTTTGTGTTTCCGTGTCTGTGCTTTTTCTCTAGCTATTTTTGAGCGGAAAACACATGACAAAAATAATATAATTTTTGTTGGCTTTGAATATTTTGAATTTAAAACCAAAGCACATCTGTTTTCGAAATGATAAATGCTGCATGCTGTATTTGCTGCGGACAGGAAATATCATTTTTTGAATACCGAAAAAATACTACAAAATGTATATCAGTGAGGAGACGGCATTATACGTGTAGTATGTGTAATTTTTAAGAAAACTTTTACGACGTTTCGCAAGTTCATGTTCATCGATGTTACCGATGTTTCCCAAACATAGATGTTTCTTCACCTCTATTACAACCTAAAACTAATTACAAGAATTTCTGCAAATTAGAGACGTTTTGACACTTTCACATATTTATAGCACATTACCGCCATGCGCTTCTTTGACCATATCCTTTTTAAATAAACAATTTGGCCAATTTCGGGGGAAGAATGCGTTTAGAAAATTCTAAAACAAGTAGAAATGCATGTAATGTTTTGGTACATCAGTTGCTCGGTCCTGCCAAGATAAAAATACGCTGGATGTTGGTCATTACCTAAAACAATTATAGCAATATCTCTTTTAACGATAAGATCATTTTCTGAGTTCCGAGCCGTTTGCAAGGGTTGTTGGACCAACAACCCGGTGTTGCCAGATGAAAACTTAGTTTTATGTGATGGACGTTGATGCACTACGAGCAGTACAAACAAGTGGCCCAACGATACCACGTGCTTGTTACGCGCGGAACCCTTTATGAATTAGGGCAAAAATGCGAGTTCGCGGGAAAAATACATGAAACAAATAGAGACAGGACACATAAAGATTATAATGGCTAAAAACTAAGATTGAAGCAAATGAGATAATATTTTGGTTTTTAATATAGCGTTAGATGTTGAAGATGTTGATACATTGAACGCGAAAGGGCTCATGCAGAGTAAAATTTGATGTACATCGAGGCAAATTAAGAGGGAAATAATTTCGTGTTAGTCTAACGGGAACATTAAAAGTTAAACGGTTTACCAGTTCTACAGAATCGATATCACCTGTTATAAGATTGTGCATAAGAATAGTACCAAGCATTATTCTACGGTTTTCAAGTGTAGGTAAATTAAGCAATAGTAATCTACTCTGGTAGGGAGGTAGCCTTACGTTTTGATCCCAGTTCAAACTACGAAGGGCAAAAAGGAGAAATTTTTTTTTACCGACTCAATACGGTCGATGTGCACTTGATATTGTGGACTCCAAACTGAAAAACAATATTCCAAAATAGAACGGACAAGGGAGGTAAATAATAATCTGGTTGTATAAGGGTAATTAAATTCTTTTGACCAACGCTTTATAAGCCCAAGAACACTTATAGCTTTATTGACAATGACCATTATGTGGCAGTCAAATTTAAGTTTTGGGTCGAGTAAAACAACTAAATCGTTAATTGAATATATACGGTCGAGTGATGCATTTTGAAGAGAATAACTAATAAACGTAGGAGTACCCCTATAAAAAGTCATAACGTTGCATTTAAGGCAGTTAAAATTTAAAAGGTTGTACTCACACCATTAAACCCTTAAAAAATCAAACAGTCGATATTTTCCCTTAAAAAATCCAGTTTCCCCCCAAATTAAAAAAAATCTGTTAGTTTCGAACATGTACAATAGAGTTAGGTTTATCAAAATATGACGTTGGTGAAATGTTAAGATTGGAAAAATATGTTTACTCAATAAAAAGTCGTGTCTAGTGTTTTTCTTGTATTTTTGGAAATATTGTGGGAAATTAATATAATAAAATTTCCGAAAAAAAAACTTTTCACCTAAAATTCCCCCTACCACTTCAAAAAACCCCTAAGTCTAGGGGGAAAACCTCTTCCCAAAAACCTTAACACCTTAACGCTTAAACTTAACTGAAAACGTGGTCCCATTTTCTAAGGCAGCGAGTTGTAGCGACATTTCTTGACTTTTTCTAGCACATTAACTTTTAAAGGAGAAAAGTCGCTGAAGCGGTAAAGGGCCGCTTAAGCGAAAACCTCCTCTGTGTGCACAGGCAATTATTCAACGATATCCCATTGAGAGAAATCAGTGGGGAATTTATTTATATATTTGGTATTTTTTCGGTATTCACAAAAATGTTATTTTCTGTCTGCACCAGATACAGCATTTAGCATTTGTCCTTTTTAAAAATAGATGTGTGTTAGCGCCTTGACTTGACTCCCTAATACCCTCTTCCCATAGAGTTCATCCGTTTGAAGCGGTTGGGATTTATGACGAATGTGAAACTCGACTTCCCACAGAACTCCATCCACCATCTACCATCCAATAACAGCTGACTGAAGAGCAGTTGCTCAGCTCAACATTTCAACTCGGTAAAACTGTCGTAAAATTGCGTTCTCCTAATTATATTGTAGAATAATACAATAAATAGATTAAGAAAAATGGCGGACAGACGTACATGGCTAGATGGACTCGGCTATTGATGCTGATCAAGAATATATATACTTTATATGTTAAAGTTTTTTAAAAGATACACTCTTTATCTTTCGAACCCCATACTAAGAATAATTTTAGGATTTTTATTAAGGGAGAAACAAAAAAAATATTTAAAAATGTTTAATAAATTACATAATACAAAATAATAATAAATAAAACAATTTTAAAATTATTGTTTATTAAATGGACGGTTAAAAAAATACTTGTAAGTTTTTAATAGATTAAAAATGACTTTTAAAAAAGTTAACTTTTAATCATTAAAAGTTGTTAAGGGACTAGTAAACGATGAGAAAACATGAATTCCATAAGGATCCGATAAGAGTGAGAGAATAGACCCACATGCTGCGACGTTTTTTCATAGAAAAAAGCCGAGGCCTTGATAAAACAAATTCGATATTTTAAAAACTAAACATGGCTCCACATTTTTGACAAAAACCGATTGAAACTAACAATATGGCGCATATTTGGGGAACCCGTTAAAAACAATTTTTTAAATCTTAATTTGTTTTTATTTTTAAGAAATTAAAAACTCATTTTTTTTTGTAAATTTGTTTTTTAAAAGAAGAGGTTGTAGAGGAATTAATGCAAAAGACACGAAGTCAATCAGATTACTACAACCGGAGATACAGATTTTCAATGAGGAATACTTTTTCAAAATTCACGTTTTGTTGCAAACTAAAAAGAATTCTAAAAAAAAAATAATTTGTCTTCGGCCAAATCCTGATACCAGTGTTTACTAGGGATGTCGAAAATTTATCAAAATATCAATATATCGATATTTTTTACGAAAAAATAAATATTCTTATCGTGATATTTTTTTTGAATAATTATCATATATCATCGATTTTCTTTCACATTTTTTGATAATGTTAAGTGGTCTCACTTTTCATCGGGACAAGAAAAAATACATATGTGAAAAATGAGCGCCGCTAAAATGTATTTTTCGGCAAGTGAAAATGCATAGCATAGCATTCAGAATTCAAGAAAAAAAAAGCGCGGGAAATACTAGATTTTAATATTATAAATAAAAGCAAAAGAAAGCCAAAATAAATATTGTTTTCTTTCATTTATTAATAAATATAAACTAAAAATTATAAAAATATAATTAAGATCGTATGTGGGTTAATGTTTAGTGGTTATTGCTTATGCAGCTTAAAATTAAAAAAAAAATAATAAAACAAAAATATCTGATATATAGATATTGTTTGCGCACTTTGCGCTTTTATAATGAACATTGTTGAATAGTGTAAGGCGGGAGCGGGAGCGCAATAAAGCTTTAATCGCGCTCGCGAATTCGCCCCGTCTCTCGCCCCTTTCGTTAAGTTAGGCT